CAATGTTCTTAAGTTAAAGTATACAGTTACCAGAAATGTTAGGAATTGTGACATCTTGGGTATATCCGCTCCTCACTAGAGCAGAAACAGACAGCGTAGGATCGAGGTGCAAGAATAACACCAGTGACTCACTTAAAACAATATTTTCAATGAATGTCTTTCATTTGAAACCATTCACTTGCTACTCATCATACAGCCAACAGGTGGCTTTTATTGGCTTAATTTTAATGTGTCTAGTATATAGAGTACTATATATTTACAAAAGCTGTTTTTATTGTGGTACAAGATTGAATCAAACAGATGCAACGCATTTCTTTTGACTTAAGATAAAGTCTGTAGATATTGCACACTTTGCAGGTAGTTTCTTCCACTTTTTCCATTAAGCACATTTAAGTCTTTCAATATAATGAACTCTTGTTAATACACCCATAGAGAGAAATTGAGCAATCTTTCGAATATCAGTTAAATTTTTGACCTTTTTTCTTTGATTTACACTTTGAAAGTGGAATTATTACATATTAGCAGTAAAACAGAAATACAATTCAAGTTCACTTATTGACTGTAGAGTTTATCTCTGCTTTATTCACGAACAGGAGTTAATATGGGTGTAGTACTGTATACACTGTACAGACTTCAAAAACCCCTCAAAGCAAAGTGTCTTGATGCATGCTGAATCATCCAGGTAAGTAAATCCCAAAAGGTTGATTCTGTTGATCTGGATGTAGCGCTTTCAGTGGGAAAAACATTTCGTCACTCATCCAAGTGATCACTTCAGCCTCAGCTGACTGCAGGTTTCCCCAATCTTATAAACAGTACATTGCACAATGACTGAAACTAGCACCACTGAAGCAACAATGGGCTGGGAGCTCAGTTGATAATTAATATGCAAATTCTCATTGATCCACCACTACTGATCAAGGTCCATTGATCAAAGACCGCTGATCAATGGCCATGAGTACCATTCACAGAGAGTTGGGGAATGGCTGCAATCACAGCATTACTGAAAGATGATAAAAGATGTACCCTTAGGCCCCCTCCTCGATTCAGAAATGGTCTTTCCCTTTTCACATAAATGGCCTCCTTGACTCCGCGCTCAAACCAGCGTTCCTCTGATGAGGCTGTGGTCTTTGATCAATGGGCCTTGATCAGTAGTGGTTGATCAATGGTCATGAGAATTTGCATATTAATGATCAAGGAACTGACCTCCCAGCCCATTGTATATTCAGTGGTGCTAGTTTCAGTCATTGTGCAATGTACTGTTGATAAGATGGGTGAAACCTGCAGTCAGCTGAGACACTAATAAGCAAAATACCAAATTAACACAAAAAAATAAAACTTGAATTCATCTTCAAAAAAAAGAAAAGAAAAGAAAAAAACAAAACAAAAAACCCATCAGATTATAGATTCAGTGATTTCAAATTTCATTGGTCTGTTTGCACAATTAACTGCACAGCAAGCCATATTTTTTTAACTGCTGTATTAAAAGGACTCAAAGTCACAAAAACTACAAACAAACATGGTCAAAGGGTCCTGCAAATCAAATTAACCTAAAGTGACAAAGCAGAGAGCGACTGGAAACCATTTAACAGTCTGTGCTATTAAAAAAATAAAAAAAATCTATTAGCTGCTAGTAAGCATAGAAACAAACAAATATATTCTAGGCTGTAACTACACAGGTTTGATTTGCTTTTGGAGAGGCGCATCGGAGGAACTGCAGTGTGAGCACTTGTGTTGGATTCATTTTTTAGTCCATCACTTGAAAATATACAAATAATTGAATTATTTTTAAGTTTATATGAAGAAGTTTAGTAACATCTAAATGTTTAATGGAGCTTAGCGATCTGAAGAAGGTGATAACTGTTTGAAACAATGTAAATAAAAGCCTCTGTGTTACCTAAAAAGACTGTACACCTTGTATCTGCCGTCAGCCTTGCTCTCCTCCCGTCTGTCCCAGTCTGCACTGGGATACAAGCCCTTCTATAATCTCCTTACATAATAACGTCGAGCCTGACCCTGACCAAGGAGAAAGCCTCCTGCCTCAATTACAACTCGGCACACAAATCCTAAAAACAGGACAGACTTTGTCATGCAAGAGGGGCCAGACAGTCTGAAGTGATTTTGTCTTTAAGGAAAAGTGGATTTTGGAGACTTATGTGGGGAGAAAGGAAAGAGACTGTGTGAATAGTTCAGGTTAAGCACTTTGTATCTTTCTTCTTTCCCCCACTTCATTATTCTCAGTTGCCATGGAGAAAAACTATATATAACTCGTCTCTCTCTCTCTCTCTCCAGAGGCCTGCCTGAATTCAAAATCTTTTCTCCGTGTCATCTTCCTTTTCCATTGTTTCCACAGAGAGGACAGTAGGAGACAACATCTCATTTCAATAGGAAATCTGTCTAATGCCCAGCTTTAGCGGCAGGAGGGAGACGTCAGGGCAGAGCAGACAAACCAAAACAAACCAGAGTCAGCGAGTGACCAGCCAGACACTATGGCGGTTTCCCTTGGTCTTCTGGCCAGACTCCCATTTTCAGAAACCAGTGGCTTCAAAGGAATAATTCATTTCACAGTCTGGTGGCCAGACACAGAGCCCCAAGACTCACGCCACTTTTAACACCTAAAGAAGAAGAAAAGCAGATTTCCCACTCTGCTTCGCCTTTCGCAGTACTGTACCACAACAGCATTTTGTCAGGCTAAATCTAATTAAATTCAAACACTCAGGCCAAGAGGAGTTAGTCAGGGTTTGTGCCTTTTCATTACGAAGTTTTTTAATTTGTAGTTTAAGACATTGGACATGTCTTACAAATCACATCCCGTGTAGCTTCGCTCAGAATGTCACGCAAAAGCTTTTACTTCTCTGACATCTGTATTAAAATCCCACCAGGTTAACTTTGGTTAAGGTTAGGCGCAAAAATTATTTGTTTCAGGTTGAGGAATGTTCATGGTCTGAGTTAAAATAAGTCCTTGTTAAAGATGGGGAAACGTGTGGTGGTTAAAATTACCGGTTTGTTAATGTTAGAGGACCTTCGTCATCATGGTTAAAATAATAGCTTCTTGGTTAAGGTTAGAAGAAAAAATAAACCATTATCATTATGGTTTAAAGAAACCCATCTGACTGTCAGAAGGAAGTGGAATGCAAACAGCGGTCTCTATGTCCAAGTCAGGCTTTTTGGTGATTCATCCATCTGCCCCAAGTACTTCCTTTACTGTGAGTGTAGCATGGAACTAAGTTTGTTTTTAGTCCTAAAGGATAAAGTCAAGACCTGGCACCACTCCTGTCCAGCTGTCTATTATAGAACTACATCAACACAAGTGGATGGCTACCTTTGCTCTGTACACCTGCCAGCATCTGTAAGGCTCAGTCATCAACTCCATGCACAATCTATACAGTAAATAAAGAGTCAATTGTCGCCATCTTGCTCCACATTCATAGGATAGCGATATGCCAGGCTACAGCTACATGTACGCAGTCTCAAGTCTGTTTTATTTGTGCAGATAACCCACATATGGAGTTTTCAAAAAGTTTGACCTCGACAGGAGTTTTTCCAAAATGCCATCTTCACTAATCTTCAGTATTCACTTTTCATTGAAAGGCCAAAATGCACATAAATAGCTATGTACAGCAAAATACCTGCATAGATGTGGCCATAGCGTTCATTACAAGGTAAATCTGCATGAAACCATTCCCTCCTTTATGAGCCTTTTTGACTCTAATAGGACCACACATTTTAAAATGAGAATTGTGTTGAACGCAGTAGGATAAGAAACCAGTAACTTTATTAGTGTTTACTGAGGTCATATTTAAGGAAACAAGGGCTAATTTTGACTATTTCTTTTTGGAACCAGAGTACTCGCCCCCTGCTGGACATAAGAAATAATGCAGGTATATGGCATTTTGGTATCTTTCATCATTTTGTTTTTTCCTCATTAAACTCCAAGACAAAAATTTAATAAGCACATTATATATATAACATCAACCTGCTGATGACTTTAAATTTACTCACAAATGTACACGGGTGTAAAACCAGGTGACATGGATGCATAACGCTGAAGGTAATAAATAATAGTAAGCTTGTTAGACTTCATGAAAATATTGTAAAAACCTAACATTACAAACATATTGTGATGGCTACTGTTAGCTAAACCAAAACACCTCAATATAGTCTCATAGTAACCTGATTAATTTTTGTGTCTGCGGACATGATTTTCCATCACTGTTTCTGACTCGGCTGTTGGACGATGTGGCAGTAGTGTGGATCTTTTCTTCTATCACGCTGGAAACCAGGATTTTTACGCTTGAATTGCTTGAAATAATTTTAATTGTGTTATTATCATTTAACTGCTTAAAACTAACTGGTGGCCAGTTCAGAGCTTGTATGGACTTTGTGCTAAAGTCCAATTAATGTAAGGAATAAATAATATGATGCTTTGCATTCACACATAGACATTACCAGGAGGATCTGCAGTTTGGGTATAAAAACTGCATTCCCTGCAGCCTGTCCTTGCAGACATAGACCTTGCCCCAGTTAGTTAACGGATTTACACCAATAATCATTTTTATACCATCTCACTGCAAGTGAAATGTGTCCATGCACAGACTTTCAAGCCTTAAGGATCTTACCTTAGAGGCCCTCCGCCGCTCAGGACACTCGGGATGTTGGCACACCACCCCATCGTCCTCCTGGACGGGCTTCTCATCTGAAACAGAACACACGGGTCAGTTTGACTTCCCTCTGAACCACTAAAAACACCAAACCAGCCACCCAGCCAGCAGCACGTCCATTAACACACCTTTCTTGGTAAAGTTTTAAAAACGTACTGCAG